AGATGACATATTTATGATCAGTATAATTTTTAGAGTCATCTGAGAAGTTTAATTGAAATTTGATTTTGTACTATTCGTAAGGGCGCGTTTGGCTCTCCCTATGGTGATAAGCTTATGTGGGTGTTTATATATATATAAAGATGTGCCATATGAATGGGTGAACTCATCATTTTGGAGTTAAATAAAATATCTGAAGGAGAGAGAACCGTATGAGAGAGAGAGAGAGAGAGAGAGAGAGAGAGAGATGAGGCAAAGCTTCTCCAAGAGAAAACTCAACATCCATGGAAGTTCGAAGATGATTCAAGAGAATAGAAGAGAGAGGAAGAAGATCAACCATGAAACTTGGGAAAATTGAAGTGAACTAAGACAAAGACAAAGATTGAGCTAAGGTATGATAATCTATCTCGAAACCTTGTGTTTAAAGTATCAATTTGGTGAAATCATAAAGATCTTGGAAGATTTAAACCCATTTGGGGTTAAGGTTTTATGTATGTATTTACTTGAGTTAATTTGAGGAATTAGAGATTGCGTTCTATAATTTTGTTTATGAGTGGAGCTCAAGCTCATGGATATCATGAAATGAACTTTAGATTATGCAAGAATCAAGTGAATTTGTGGGTTTGTGGGGTGTGTTTTAAGAACCTTGAAGATCATGAAAGATTAAGCATTAATCTTGAACTTTGAGGCAAAGATTGATTTGTTTGAGATAAAATTACAAATGGTTGATGTTAGTTTATCTTGTTATGGGGCAATTTTACATGTTTTTGAGTGATTTATGTTAGAAATCAAGCAGAAAAATGGAAAGACCAAGTGTTGGAGCAAAAACCATTTTCGGACTGCAAAAATGCCCAAAGTTGCACGTGCGGCAGGTCTTCCCGCACGTGCAGCAGTCCATGCTCAAAACCAAGTTTGATTCTGCTAAAATGGCACGTAATCCCGCACTTGCGGCCCCTTTCCCGCACTTACGGCCCTGTTTCCCGCACGTGTGGGGACAACTATGTTCAGCCAACTTTGAATAAGCATATTTTTCGACTCTGGACTCCGTTTTGAGTGATTCTTGAGCCTAAAATCAAGCCCCAGAAGTCTAGTTTCCAATGGTATTGGTCTCACTCCCAAATTCTAAGCACATAATTAGATATGCCCAAATTAGTGAGAGTTGCTCACTTTCTGTCTACCAGTTTTATACCATTTCTTCGTCTGATCCATTTTCCTATCAATTCCTCCTATTTTCTGAGACATGGATTATAACTTATTAAGGAATAATGAGCTTGGTACCACCTTGACGAATTG